TCCCTTCGCATTACTTCCGCCCTTTTGTCTTCGACCTCGGTAGTGCGTGCTTCGCTTGCTGCGGTGAGAAGTGCACAGTGATGTTTCATTGATAACTATTCGTAACAGTATGAAGGATTCAACTACGGTAAAAAATACTCATTGCAATATTTTGTATACCTCTGATTAAGTTGAGATGAACATAATGTAAAAACTGAAAACTCGTTGCAAACATGACACATTAATTCCTATTTAACGCCTCTATTTGAATCCTGGTGCGTATGCAGCACTTGAGTGACTCTTTTGTGATATAATAACTGTAGATTATCTAAAGGTGGGAACATTAGGTTGCTGTGTGCTTACCGAGCAAGGGGCTCCCTGAAACAAGCTCTCGCTTGTAGCGAGAATATAGTTTGAGAAATTGAACAAATTTGGCGCCAAGACTCATGTCGTGGGGCCGTTGGGTTCCCTACTTCCCACTTCCCCTCCGCCACGAAAAACTCACCATGCCATCCCATCACGTCACACTTGCTACCAGCGCAAGTTACGCAACTATCTCTGCCCTCACGACGTGCTGCTAGCCATCCTGGTCTTTCCGTCTGCCTAACGGCCAGTAACAAGCTCCTTGGTCGAGGTCTTTGCTTGCTGACAGCCGTCTAAGCCAGAAGCCTAGCCTATCAGCGTTTTGATCCAAGTCTGTCCGCCATACTGAGCGAGGGTGTGGGGATCAATATGGAGGATACATCGTCGAAGAGTCATGCCTCGAACCTGTGGCGAACTATGTCTGTGAGTGCACCCTTTCAATTCCAGCTTAAGCTGGAAGTACCATGGTACTTCTGCGTTTCGTATCGTCTGCGCCTGCTCCAAGTTCGTCTCACGTTCTCGCAGATGCTAGCACCCGAGCCGCGTCAATTCACGATGTTTGCGTGAAGGCTTGGTTGACTAAGCAGGCTAGCCTGATGTTTTACAACGCCCTTTTTTGCCGCATCCCACGCCATCTGTCCCCACTGCATGAGCAGCAGCAGGAACCGCCGCTTCGAGCGGACCAGGAACGTGTTGGAGCATCGGTCGTCTTTAGTTCGCCGCAGCACCTCCAGCGGCCGCGTCGATCGTAAGTGACAATTCCTGTTGTCGCATTTCCACGCGTTCGACGTGTCGCCGGTCGCCGTCTCATCGCGCGCACCACCAATCCTACTCACTCTCGCGACGTCCTCTCTCTTCTCCCGTAACAGCCAACGCTATCCAATTCCGCGTTCCAAAGAACAGAAAGAAAGAAAGAAAAAAACCTCGATTTTTTCCTTTTTGATTCCTTCTTACCCTTGCCACCTGCTCCCTTCCAGCAAAGAGGCGTCCGCGATTAAGTCTTGGGTACCTGCAACTTCTGCTACCACTGGTCCTTCTGCACTTGATGCTGATGGCTATGTGAAGAGTTTCAATGTTCACGTCAAAGGGAAAATCACGGGACGTGCAGAGGAAGCAGGGCCAGGGCAAACTGCAGCCTCAGACACTGCCACTGCTGTACGCGTTACACGCGGAACTGATAAACGGCCGAAGCCCAACCGGCGGTTGTTTACTCATGAGCATTCTGAACCTCAGTCGCACGCTTCCGAGCCTCCGCCCGAAACTGCGGATGTTTCTCCTGTTATTCCCCGCGCAACTGTGTCTCCCAGCTTCTTGCATGGGGATTGGCGCGTGGAGACGGATGGGAAGGGCGTGGGGGAGAGAGGGGGGGAGCTCGGGCGTGCAGTGATGGGGGAGCTGGGCTGTGCGGGGGAAGGGGGGATGACACGCGCTGCGGGTGGGGAGTGGGGGGGTGAGGGGCTGGCGCGAGTGGAAGGGGATGGGGCGGGGTTTGTGGTGTATGAAGAGGATGTGAGGGGCTGGGATGGGGAGGGCCCTTATGGTGTTGGGGAGAACGTTGCGGCTATGGGAGAAGGGGAGACAGGCGAGGTGGAGGGAGAAGGGGAGGGAGGGGAGGAAGAGGAGGATGATTGGATAAAGGAGATAAGGGCTGCGTGGAGCGAGAGAAAGAGGCACGGAGGGAGCAAGGGGCGTGGCGAAGAGGACGAGTAAGAGCATGTGGTTATCCTTAGGCGTTGTGATGGGGTCGTTCATTTGGTCATTTGCAAACTACAGAGTTCAGTACATTCACAGTTGTGCACTGATATCTGTGAACTCTTTGTCTGTCTCTAATGCATGTTATTTCTTTTATAAACCCCACCCTCCACCACCACCCCCCCCTCCTCCTTCTGGTTTCCCCCCTCCCGTCCTTCTCCATTTCCTTACACCCCCTGTCTTCCCGCTCCATGCTCTCACACTACCCGTTTCCTTGACTCACACGCTTGTCATCACAGGATAAGATCTCCAGCAGCAACAACACCAGCAGATGCACTTACAACTTCAACACCAGCAGATGCTGTGGCAGCAGAGGTAGCAGCGTCCCCGTCTATGCTGCCTCCCCTGGTGCCGTCCCAAGCCCCTGACCGATGGGAGGAGGACCCTGTGTATCAAGGCATGGCTTACGTTGGGTGCACGCACCAATACACCCCTGCACATTTTAACAGGTTCCTTGCCAACTGGCGCCTGCAGCAAGAGAGCGGCAGCAGGAGGACTTGAGTGCGAGTTGGAGCGTGATGTCTGGATGCTAGCCACTTACGCACACCTGCCGTTCTGATGTTTGGGCTAGCACTTCGGAAGGTGACACAATCTATGTACATCAGTTCTGCTAGCGTGATTCTCGCCTGGTGACATTGGGCTTCCTGTCCAGGGCTTATGTTGTGTGTAAATTGCATGCTGTTGCTCGACGTTCTTTTACTTACAAGCTTCAATGGACTTCGTTTTCCTCTACAGAACATGTTCACCGCAATATTAGGCTGTTCAGGTTCTAAGGGGTTGGATAAGGTTGGGAACTATGAAGGACAACGTTTCGCACACCTCGGAATTCGGCATTCTTCGCAAACGTAGAAAGAGCAGGCTTCAGCCTGACTGTAAGGATTTACAGATCCTTACTGAGGCACTCGTTAGCGAGGCCATCCCGAGGGTCACGCGACGAACCTGTCTTGCCTATTTCGTCGCACCGAACCACCCCCGAGTCGGCCTCCGCTCCAATCGCAACCATCACCGAGCCATCCCATCCCGAATCCCCCGCCTAGCTAGCTTCTCCCCTATTTAGGCCTCCCTACTTCATTGTTTCTTCATTCAGTAATTCAGTAATTTCCATTCTCGTTATTCGTTTGACTGCGCACTCTGCAAGTTGATTCATAACACTGACGCACCGTTTTCAGCTGAATTAGGGCGCGTGTCTTTTGGTTTTTATAATCAAAACTCGAGTTTTTGGTTGAACTTTTCCATCTGAGCCCAGGTCGACCTAGGCTCGAGTATAGCCAAATCTGTAACCCGAGTCGCGGTTCCAACACTCTCGAGAACCACAAGACACACAAAAGGTCGACTTTCGAAGTTGAACTTTTGCAACTTTCACGAGTCGCGGCCCATAGTCGTAGGTTACCCGGTTTGGCCTCTTGACAGAGCGCCACGTATGACCCCCGCGTCCACCGCCACATGTGAGTTGGCGAAGCCGGAACCCTGTCGATCGAGTCGCTCGTGCTAATGACGTCAGCTGCGACAGTCGCAGAATTCGCTTCTTCATCGTCTTTGGTCAAGAGGACACACAATTGGATTTTCATGGGAGACTGTTTGGTGCGAGAAGTTCAACCATGGATTCGGTCTCGCTTCAGACATGATATTGTCCTTGGACACACGATAGCCACGCGAAGCATCTAACGATATTAGCGACAAGGGTTACCACTGAAAGTTCAACCAAATATCCGAACGTCTACACCAAAAGACATGCGCCCTTAAATCCCCCCCTCCACCACCAGTTTCCAGCTGAATCTCAGAAGGCGTCTCAAATCCCTCGGTCCACCCTGGCTCTATGCGGTCGATGGGGACCAGTCCACCAAACCACATCGGACCCAAGCGTGGACCCGCTCCCTGAGCAATGTGGACCGTGGGTGTAGCAAACCAGCACCCTCGTTTTAGCGGGCAAAAGGGACTATAATGGGGAGGATATCCAGGTTCAGCGAGCTGGTCCACGTCGGACCCCTGAACAGTCATTGTATTTTCGAACAATCACGAAATCACCTCTCTCTGTCGCAAAATTTTGACGCCCACACGTGTCAGGGAGACGCTGCGCAAGTGTACTGTACAGTCTTGCGTCATGGTAACCCAGTTTCTCTCGCCTACACGCCACTGTAGAGTGGATCTGCGGACCCAACAACAATGAGTCCGAAGCTGGTTCACTCGGTTGGTCCACCCTGGTCCGACGGACCAGTCCAGGGTATTTCTGTAGGCACAAATTCAGGGACGGACCAGGTTTGGGCGGACTGGCGGACCAGCCAAAGTGAGACACGTCCTCACATGGCACCACCCGGCATCCCTCTATACCCCTCCTTGTTCCTTTCACCCTAGCTGCCGTTTTTTTGGACGCGTTACAATTGCAACACCGATCCGCTAAGGAGATCGATGTTCGGGGTATGAAGAGCTTCGTAGACCTGTGTATCCTTATTTCGCAAATTTTCGCTAAGACTCGATTCACGTTACCAAGGGAGATGTCTCTTCCAGATCGATCTGTCACCGTACTCAAATCAAGCGTAAACATGTACAACTTTTCGAAACGTTTCTAACCCCGCAAAATCAGGGTCGTGAGGACGATCGCGACACATGTGGCTCGGAGGAGATTGATGTTCACAGCTTCGGTGTGCGACCTTGATCCTCACCGGTGTTGAAATTGTGACGCGTCCTTACACATCACATCACCTCACCACGAACAGGAAAACATTCCTGTGAAGTGCGAATAAGGCAGGACGAGAAAGGGGCTGGACGGAGAGACATGGGAGACGGAGAGTCGGAGAACGGTGATTAAACCAGGTGTGGCACAAGTAGGAGCTCGTCACGGGCGGTCCGCTCCCGTAACATTCCGGGGCCTTGCAGTTCGTTTTATCTCTGATGAAAAAGTGGGATTAATGGAGGAATTGTCGTACAGAAAATCGGTCGATGAAATATTAACGGATGAGGTCCTAACGGGGGATATTCTAGCAGAGTCGATCCTGACGGAGGACAACCTGACGGAGGAAATCCTGACGGAGGAGATCCTAGCGGAGGAGATGTTAGCAGAGGAGATACTAACGGTGGATGGCGTGTTACAAAAGTACGTGGGCGAGCTAGGCCCGTGTCAGATCCGCCATGCCGTGCTCGTCGCATGTGCGTGGTCCCTCGAGGCGCTTTTCACGTTCATCATCATCTTCACAGGTGCGCTCCCAGGTCTTTCTTTTCTCTGAATTCCGTTGCTCCCCCTCCCATGTCTCCGTTTCCCCCACAAGCATTTCCTCCCTCACCTCCCATCCACCCACCTTCCCCATCACTTTTTCTTTCACCAATATTTGAGTTTATAAAAGGCACCCTTTTCCACCAATCAGAGCCCATGTCATGCTGCCACCCTGCGAGCTGCATTTTGTAGTTTGATAAGAGATGAAAGTTGAGCTAGCAACTGGAGTTGTAACGCTTTTAGAACATTTCTGGAACTACCATTGCGCACTGGCTTCAACCTTGGAGTCCCCACTTGAGCCGAACAGCACGCCATCGTGCAATTGTCCAATTTTCTCTCCTTTTCTTCCACACCAATCAGAGCGCATGCCAGCGTGGCATTGCACAGCACCCTCCTGCGTCGGGAAGACTCTCTGCCAGGTGGACGCGGAGCAGCAGCGTGACATGTGGCAGCAGAAGGCAGGCCAGCAGGAGAATGCCACGTGGCAGTGGTCAGAGCCAACAAGCGTTTCAGTGGTGTCAGAGTGGGGTCTCATCTGTGGGCAACAGGCGCTGCTAGCATGGATCGACTCGGGATACTTCATGGGTTATTGCGCCGGTGCGTTCTATTCTATGCACCTTGCAGCCTACTAGTGAGGCGCATAGAAAATTGGGTCTCACCGGCAGGTTGAGTTAACTGTAGACCTTCGACCCCAAAACATAGCTTCAATACGAAAACATAAATGTGCTGTGTACCGGCACTTGATAAACCTTTTTTATAAACCTAAGCTCATGGCCACTGCCATGCTTCTTCTCCCCTCTCCCCTCTCCCCTGTCCGCTCTCGCCTCCTGTCTCCCTCCCTCTCCTCCCTCCGTGCATATCCCAGGTTCGTGCTTCTTCGCGTTCCTCTCAGACGGCCCTCTGGGTCGCAAGCGCACTCTCCTCCTCGCGTCCCTCCTCGCCTCCCTCCTCACAACCCTCACAGCCCTCACGCCCTCCCCTCACTCGTACGCTCTCCTGCGTCTGCTCACCGGCATCGCCACATCAGGCCTGGGCAACACGTGCTACGTGCTTGCAGCAGAGCTCATTGGGCCCAGCCACAGAGGACCAGCTTCCATGCTTGTCAACCTCTCATATCCCTTTGGTCAAATGCTCCTGCCTGCCCTCGCCGCGCTTGCCTCGGCGGTGGGTCCGGAAGAGGCCGAAGCAGTGTATTGGTGGTGGCAGAAGGAGGCACCGGCAGGGAGAGTGGGTCCTGTGGTTGCTGCTGGGTCAGCGGCTGTGCTACACGCACCACCGGCAAGGTGGGATGTAGCTGCACCAGAAGCATCCGCCGCCCCGTCGTGGCGGCGCCTGTATTTGCTTGCTGGAGGGGGAGTTGGCGGAGTGTACTGTGCGCTTCTCCTCCTCCCGCCGCTGCTGCTCGCCGTCCGGCCAATCATGTCCCAGCACGTGGCAAAAATAATGGGTTTCTTGGCCAGGAAAGACATCCCTGCAGCGTCGAGAGTGGGTGTTGGAGGTGCGGGTATTGCAGGAGGAGATAGTTACGATAGCAGTCATCTTTTTGTGCCCCAGTCAGTGGAGGCGCAAGGCGAGAACACGGCAGGGGTATTTGAGGAAGAAGCACAGGCAGTGGCCCAAGGAGGGGGGAGGAGAGGGGGGTGCAGCACAAGGGTGGAGACAGAAGCAGTAGCGGCCCTGGCAAGGTGGGGAGGAGGGGAGAGCAGGGCAGTTACTCAAGCAGCTGAGGTAGTTGTGAGGCGTCACAAGGCTCAGGGAGTGGTTTGGAAAGAGCTTAGAGCAGTTACATGGGTGTGTGAGTCGCCGAAATGGCTGCTGGAGAGGGGAGGAAGAGGGGGAGCACTGCAAGTGTTGCAGGGTCTGGCGAAGGGGAACGGCCGGGTGATTCCTGCGGGGGTGGTGCTGGTTCCTGATGTTTGGGCAGCTGGAAACTGTACTGGTTGCCGGGCAGTTGAAAGTTGTAACGGGTTTAGGGCGGTTGAAAGTTGTGCCGAGAATTGTGCTGACCTTTCAGCAGCTGAAAACCGTGTTGAACCCTGGGAAGCTGCAAGTGGGTTGGTGGCAAGTCAGCAGCTTCAAGAAGCATTGGAGAGTATAAACCGAGGAGGAGGAGGAACAGGTGCAGTTACAAGTGGGGGAGGCTTTGTCTGCGAAGGTGCAAACGCGGCAGGTAGGGGTGGTGGTGGTGAAGGTTCAACTACTGAATATTGTGTAACTGGTGCAGGTTCACCTGGTGGCTGCGTTGCTTCCTGTGCCGCCAGCACAGCTGGTGCAGCAGGCAGCACAGGCGGAGGTGCAGCCAGGGGGGAGTTGAGGGAGTCACCATCACCCAGGGCGCATCTGCACCGTCTGTCGCTCGGAGGTGATGAGAGTGCAGCTGGGGGAGGTGGAACAGCAGGTGCAGCAGGCAGCACAGGTAGAGGAGGTGCAGGCAAGGGTGGGGGCTTGCAGGAGCTGCTGTGGTCGCGGGTTCACCTGCAGCGGCTGTGCCTCATGGTACTGCTCTTCCTCACCTCCTCCTCTCTCTACAACGGCCTCACCCTCAACACCGCCAACCTCGCCACTGCTCTTGCGGACCAACTCGCAGCAGCAGGCAGCGGCGGCAGCAGCACCACTCTCACGAGCAGCAGCAGTGTGACGAGCAGCATTGCAGCAGCGACGTACCTGGTGGCAGTGGTGCAGGTGCCCTCCATCCTGCTCTCCGGCTGCTTCATCAACCGCGTGGGGCGCCGCCGCCTCGTCAGCTGCTCCCTCATTCTGGGCAGCCTGCTGTGTGCTATTGGGGGCACGGTGCTGCTGGCGCATGGGCCACGGGGAGGGGGAGGGGGAGGTGGAGAGGGAGGGGGACTGGTGTTGGCGCAGGTGGGGGGGGAAGGGGGGCTGCTGCTGGCGCAGGGGGCAGGGGAAGGGGGGCTGCTAGTGCAGGCAAATGGGGGAGGAAGTGGCAGCGACAGGGGAGGCAGCAGGGGAAGCAGCAGTGGAAGCAGAAGAGAGCTGCTAAGAGCAGGGGCGGCAGAGGGCGAGAGTGGTATGAGTGATGGTGGGACGAGGGGGAGGCTTAGAAAGGACATGCCTGGTCTGGAGTGGAAGGACATTTTTCTGCCTGTGGCGGCAGGGGGAGAGCACAGAAGCACTGGCACATACCTGCTTGGCTTGGAGCTACTGCATGGGCCACATGTACAGGAAGAGGCTCATGTACAGTCACAATCATGTGTACAGTCACAATCATGTGTACAGTCACAATCATGTGTACAGTCACAATCATGTGTACAGTCACAATCATGTGTACAGTCACAATCATGTGTACAGTCACAATCATGTGTACAGTCACAATCATGTGTACAGTCACAATCATGTGTACAGTCACAATCATGTGTACAGTCACAATCATGTGTACAGTCACAATCATGTGTACAGTCACAATCATGTGTACAGTCACAATCATGTGTACAGTCACAATCATGTGTACAGTCACAATCATGTGTACAGTCACAATCATGTGTACAGTCACAATCATGTGTACAGTCACAATCATGTGTACAGTCACAATCATGTGTACAGTCACAATCATGTGTACAGTCACAATCATGTGTACAGTCACAATCATGTGTACAGTCACAATCATGTGTACAGTCACAATCATGTGTACAGTCACAATCATGTGTACAGTCACAATCATGTGTACAGTCACAATCATGTGTACAGTCACAATCATGTGTACAGTCACAATCATGTGTACAGTCACAATCATGTGTACAGTCACAATCATGTGTACAGTCACAATCATGTGTACAGTCACAATCATGTGTACAGTCACAATCATGTGTACAGTCACAATCATGTGTACAGTCACAATCATGTGTACAGTCACAATCATGTGTACAGTCACAATCATGTGTACAGTCACAATCATGTGTACAGTCACAATCATGTGTACAGTCACAATCATGTGTACAGTCACAATCATGTGTACAGTCACAATCATGTGTACAGTCACAATCATGTGTACAGTCACAATCATGTGTACAGTCACAATCATGTGTACAGTCACAATCATGTGTACAGTCACAATCATGTGTACAGTCACAATCATGTGTACAGTCACAATCATGTGTACAGTCACAATCATGTGTACAGTCACAATCATGTGTACAGTCACAATCATGTGTACAGTCACAATCATGTGTACAGTCACAATCATGTGTACAGTCACAATCATGTGTACAGTCACAATCATGTGTACAGTCACAATCATGTGTACAGTCACAATCATGTGTACAGTCACAATCATGTGTACAGTCACAATCATGTGTACAGTCACAATCATGTGTACAGTCACAATCATGTGTACAGTCACAATCATGTGTACAGTCACAATCATGTGTACAGTCACAATCATGTGTACAGTCACAATCATGTGTACAGTCACAATCATGTGTACAGTCACAATCATGTGTACAGTCACAATCATGTGTACAGTCACAATCATGTGTACAGTCACAATCATGTGTACAGTCACAATCATGTGTACAGTCACAATCATGTGTACAGTCACAATCATGTGTACAGTCACAATCATGTGTACAGTCACAATCATGTGTACAGTCACAATCATGTGTACAGTCACAATCATGTGTACAGTCACAATCATGTGTACAGTCACAATCATGTGTACAGTCACAATCATGTGTACAGTCACAATCATGTGTACAGTCACAATCATGTGTACAGTCACAATCATGTGTACAGTCACAATCATGTGTACAGTCACAATCATGTGTACAGTCACAATCATGTGTACAGTCACAATCATGTGTACAGTCACAATCATGTGTACAGTCACAATCATGTGTACAGTCACAATCATGTGTACAGTCACAATCATGTGTACAGTCACAATCATGTGTACAGTCACACAATCATGTGTACAGTCACAATCATGTGTACAGTCACAATCATGTGTACAGTCACAATCATGTGTACAGTCACAATCATGTGTACAGTCACAATCATGTGTACAGTCACAATCATGTGTACAGTCACAATCATGTGTACAGTCACAATCATGTGTACAGTCACAATCATGTGTACAGTCACAATCATGTGTACAGTCACAATCATGTGTACAGTCACAATCATGTGTACAGTCACAATCATGTGTACAGTCACAATCATGTGTACAGTCACAATCATGTGTACAGTCACAATCATGTGTACAGTCACAATCATGTGTACAGTCACAATCATGTGTACAGTCACAATCATGTGTACAGTCACAATCATGTGTACAGTCACAATCATGTGTACAGTCACAATCATGTGTACAGTCACAATCATGTGTACAGTCACAATCATGTGTACAGTCACAATCATGTGTACAGTCACAATCATGTGTACAGTCACAATCATGTGTACAGTCACAATCATGTGTACAGTCACAATCATGTGTACAGTCACAATCATGTGTACAGTCACAATCATGTGTACAGTCACAATCATGTGTACAGTCACAATCATGTGTACAGTCACAATCATGTGTACAGTCACAATCATGTGTACAGTCACAATCATGTGTACAGTCACAATCATGTGTACAGTCACAATCATGTGTACAGTCACAATCATGTGTACAGTCACAATCATGTGTACAGTCACAATCATGTGTACAGTCACAATCATGTGTACAGTCACAATCATGTGTACAGTCACAATCATGTGTACAGTCACAATCATGTGTACAGTCACAATCATGTGTACAGTCACAATCATGTGTACAGTCACAATCATGTGTACAGTCACAATCATGTGTACAGTCACAATCATGTGTACAGTCACAATCATGTGTACAGTCACAATCATGTGTACAGTCACAATCATGTGTACAGTCACAATCATGTGTACAGTCACAATCATGTGTACAGTCACAATCATGTGTACAGTCACAATCATGTGTACAGTCACAATCATGTGTACAGTCACAATCATGTGTACAGTCACAATCATGTGTACAGTCACAATCATGTGTACAGTCACAATCATGTGTACAGTCACAATCATGTGTACAGTCACAATCATGTGTACAGTCACAATCATGTGTACAGTCACAATCATGTGTACAGTCACAATCATGTGTACAGTCACAATCATGTGTACAGTCACAATCATGTGTACAGTCACAATCATGTGTACAGTCACAATCATGTGTACAGTCACAATCATGTGTACAGTCACAATCATGTGTACAGTCACAATCATGTGTACAGTCACAATCATGTGTACAGTCACAATCATGTGTACAGTCACAATCATGTGTACAGTCACAATCATGTGTACAGTCACAATCATGTGTACAGTCACAATCATGTGTACAGTCACAATCATGTGTACAGTCACAATCATGTGTACAGTCACAATCATGTGTACAGTCACAATCATGTGTACAGTCACAATCATGTGTACAGTCACAATCATGTGTACAGTCACAATCATGTGTACAGTCACAATCATGTGTACAGTCACAATCATGTGTACAGTCACAATCATGTGTACAGTCACAATCATGTGTACAGTCACAATCATGTGTACAGTCACAATCATGTGTACAGTCACAATCATGTGTACAGTCACAATCATGTGTACAGTCACAATCATGTGTACAGTCACAATCATGTGTACAGTCACAATCATGTGTACAGTCACAATCATGTGTACAGTCACAATCATGTGTACAGTCACAATCATGTGTACAGTCACAATCATGTGTACAGTCACAATCATGTGTACAGTCACAATCATGTGTACAGTCACAATCATGTGTACAGTCACAATGTGTACAGTCACAATCATGTGTACAGTCACAATCATGTGTACAGTCACAATCATGTGTACAGTCACAATCATGTGTACAGTCACAATCATGTGTACAGTCACAACAATCATGTGTACAGTCACAATCATGTGTACAGTCACAATCATGTGTACAGTCACAATCATGTGTACAGTCACAATCATGTGTACAGTCACAATCATGTGTACAGTCACAATCATGTGTACAGTCACAATCATGTGTACAGTCACAATCATGTGTACAGTCACAATCATGTGTACAGTCACAATCATGTGTACAGTCACAATCATGTGTACAGTCACAATCATGTGTACAGTCACAATCATGTGTACAGTCACAATCATGTGTACAGTCACAATCATGTGTACAGTCACAATCATGTGTACAGTCACAATCATGTGTACAGTCACAATCATGTGTACAGTCACAATCATGTGTACAGTCACAATCATGTGTACAGTCCAATCATGTGTACAGTCACAATCATGTGTACAGTCACAATCATGTGTACAGTCACAATCATGTGTACAGTCACAATCATGTGTACAGTCACAATCATGTGTACAGTCACAATCATGTGTACAGTCACAATCATGTGTACAGTCACAATCATGTGTAATACAGTCACAATCATGTGTACAGTCACAATCATGTGTACAGTCACAATCATGTGTACAGTCACAATCATGTGTACAGTCACAATCATGTGTACAGTCACAATCATGTGTACAGTCACAATCATGTGTACAGTCACAATCATGGGTACAGTCACAATCATGTGTACAGTCACAATCATGTGTACAGTCAAATCATGTGTACAGTCACAATCATGTGTACAGTCACAATCATGTGTACAGTCACAATCATGTGTACAGTCACAATCATGTGTACAGTCACAATCATGTGTACAGTCACAATCATGTGTACAGTCACAATCATGTGTACAGTCACAATCATGTGTACAGTCACAATCATGTGTACAGGTACATCAATCATGTGTACAGTCACAATCATGGGTACAGTCACAATCATGTGTACAGTCACAATCATGTGTACAGTCACAATCATGTGTACAGTCACAATCATGGTACAGTCACAATCATGTGTACAGTCACAATCATGTGTACAGTCACAATCATGTGTACCGTCACAAT